ATGGTTCACACATTTATCAACAAGAGCTCAGATTTACTGTCTGCCTGCTTAAAATAAATTTAAAAAATGCAACAGCATCAACATCTTCCACTTCTTGGAACAGCATTCACACTCAACTCCACATCAGTCACTTGTTCTTACCCCGACCTCTTGTTTAATTTTACATAAGTATTTATAAAAAGCTGAACAGCCTCGACAGGGGATGTTTGAAACTCAGGAAAGGCTTAGTGGCAAAGTGCTGGGAGGTGAGTGATACATACTCAAATCCAAGCAGCAAAAGAAATCAAAGCCAAGAGGTAATCCTCTGAAGAAAAATGCTTTTCCCACTGGATGACTGAATAAGAAGGGAATAGCATTAAATATTATTCAGCAATGTATTCACACAGAATACAGTGAATTTAGCCTTCTATATTTTTGGCTTTCACTTCAGTCAAACACAGCTCTCACCTTTGGACTGACCAACATGCTTAATTGCAATGGGACTGGAAATAGTTCAGGGCACGGTTGCCATTTTGTCATTTTTCAGCTCAACAGTGATGGGGCTAAATTAAAACTTTGCATGTGCATAACTCCTGGGTTTATTATCCATCACCTGTTCAACAGATCCACTGTGGTTTCTGCCAGGGACACCAGGAAGAGCCACTTTCCTCCTCATGCAGGACAAGGCAAAGCCAGGACTGTTAAGGCTTTAAGGTCAGGTGCCTTCTTTATGCCACCCCATGAGAGAAGTGACTAAAGATGAGAATTGATTCTGAGAAGCATTCCCTGAATAAAATACAAACCACAAATATTTTAACTGGAGTTCTTCTGAGCCTGGACATTTTCTGTTTTGCTGGGCTACTCCAAGCACTAGCCATGCCCAAAGCAGGCTCGGGCAGGGATGTGATGATCCAGCTGTGCAGCAGAGGTTAACAGGGCACAGCATCCTTCCTGCTTCCAGAGAAAAGGAGAAGAACACATGGGCCCTTCCTTTCCTGTTAACAGCAGCTTCACAGCCCTCTGACTTCAACAATTAGAGGGTTTTCTATTTTACCTCCTGTAAACATTGGTGATACAAAAGTATTGACATTTTCATCACAGCAAGGCAGGCACAACAAAGTGTTTGGTGGAGGCAGAGAAAAGCAGTCAATGGAAAATTTGAAGGGGGAACCCTTTCTTTTAGCCTCCAGTGGAACACTGTGGGGGTACAGCAGAAATCACCTTTTTACCTGACTTTCCCACTGCCCCCATTCAGAAGAAGAAAACCCCTTTGGCTACACCACACAATACTGAATAATAAAAACTTCACTGGTTCTTAGGCATACTCAAACTACTTATCTAGAAAAAGGCCAGGTTGGATGGTTGCCATTCCAATTATTTTATTGTCCACTGTAGAACTGCTTGTTTAGGGGCTTCCCATAGGGGAAAAATAAGGAAATGAGTTAGAGAAAATTTAATATAATGCAAAGACAACAGCTTGAAGTACCAGATCCTTGGTGTCTTGTAAAGAGCTTAATTGACATGTAAGTATTATTCAGGAGAGAAAAGAGCACTACAAAGAAGAAAGAAGATTGGGGAGAAAAAAGAAATTTCAATAGCGCTCAAAACATTTGGGGATTCCAGTATTCTGGAGAGGCAACTTAAGACAGATTTTCTGCCCAGAAATGTTCTGAGATTTAGCATGAAACTGATACTTTGATACCATACTTAAGGCATTAGGAGATGGTTCTGCTGCAACAAGGCAGCCTGCTTCCCTCCACACAAGCCTTACTTACTCCCTGGCTGTCTGCAGCTGTCCTTCTCCCTCTCTGGTGCACGAATGAGAACTGCTCCCACGCACTCAGGGCTTTCTCAAGCTAAAATTCTCTCTTCAGCTTCACTTATAAATAGGCTGTCTGCTCTTTTTTAGTTACCTATGTATTGAACAGGTTAACATCAGATAAAGAAGTAGCAGTGAGACAGCCAGTCCCAGGTGTCAGGTTTTTGAGGTGAACTAAACACTTAAAGGTGAGGTTCTCTCTTATCTGTACTTCATACAGTATAAAATGATATTTTTGTGCTCACAGAAATGGCTTTCTGAGGGAGGGAGATGCTGCTGCCTAGCTCTATCCTAAATTTTAGTGAGCTGCTTTTAGTTTGGACTAAAACAGCTTTTGCCTGAGATGTATTAAAAGTCAAGGCACTTCCCACCCATTTTGTTCCTGCTTACTGCGTGGCTTTACTGCTTAGCTGTGAACAGAAGACCACCCACAGCAAAATCTCTCTTCCTTATGGAAAAATTGGAAATGCCACAGCTCTTTTATGAGGTCTTAAATGGTGATTCTATGAATTCTTTACTTTTACTCAAATATATTATGCTATTTCACTGGATTTTCCTGAAGATGCTCATGAAGTTGATATAACATCAAATATGAAAACAGGCTTTACATCAGGCCAGCAGCAGTTTCCAGCAGGAACAAAGTTTGTGGGATCATGGGAACATCTCTTTTCTGTGTTTGTGGGAACATCCCTTCTATGACATTTGTCAACCCCATGAAGTTTAAGCATGCAGCATAGTGTCAGGAAGGTTTGACTACAAAACTTTTTTTCTTAGCAATAAGGCCACCTTGAGCTGGTTTCCCACTCACTGGTCTCCACCACTCCAATTTTTACTGAAATACTGCAGTGTTTAAATTCTGGTCCAAATTTGAATTAAACCTAATTTTAAGCAGTGTCTAAATCCTCCAAGAAATAATTTTATCTTTCTGCACCAACTTCTGAGAGATTTCCTCCCTATCCAAACACAACTTCACCTGCTTGCCAATTACCAAGAGACAAAAGTCAGTCCTGGAGCTATACTAAATTTACTACTCTCTAAGTCAATGAAATCTTAAAGTAAAGTTTAGTGGTTTGACAGAAAAGTGACCTTTACTACATGGAGACTACTACATGGTATTTTTGCAGGAAGCAAAAGCATTTTCATGCAGATTCAGGGACTGCCAAAACCTGCAAGTTGCAGACACTTCCTTGCCTTTTGCTGTTTCTTGGCTGAGCTGCAAAAATAAAATCAGACACAGATCCCAGAGGACTCAGAATTTTCTCAATAATTTGATCTACCACAAAACTAAGTTTTTCTGGTCTCTGATTTTTATCTCAGCAGCAAGGAGTGCAATGAGCTACTATGTTCACCCAGAACAGTGGATACTTCTACAGACAGGGCTGAGAATGGAATAACATGATAGACAACAACATGAATATGGCTTAAAAGTGAAAGGAACAAAGAAGAAAAGGAAGAAAAGGAAGAAAAGGAAGAAAAGGAAGAAAGGAAATAACTCCGATGTACCCAGTGAGAGATGGTGTTTGCCCTCAGTACAGGTGGCTGAATAGAGGAAGATGCCTCCACCTGGGTTTGCAGCTGACCAAGGCAAAGAAAAATGAGGCTATCTCAGAGGAGGTACCCTGGCTGTTGGTGGACAGAAGGAAAGGTACCTTGGAGGAGAGGAAGGTGGGGAGATGTGATATTTACATTTCAGATGACAATTGTACTCTTTCCCAGCTTCTTTGGAGGACTGATGACCTTTCCACAAGCACCAGCATTCATCATAGCACTGAAGCAGAAGCTGTCCACCCGACCCTCCCCATGAAGCATATGAATCTAATATTTCCCTTTTTGTGAAAACAAGAGTAATACCTGCTTACAACTCTGCAATATTGTTCTCCAAGTGTGTGGTAAAGCTAATAACCACACAAGAGAGAGCTTTTTTGTTGTTAGAAGCCAGATCCAAATATTCCTAATGCAGCTCTCTATCACATAAGCCTGAAGACACACACACACACACAGATCTATAAAGGCAAACACTCCTATATATCCTACAAGCAAACTGCCTTAGAGCTGTTTCCTGTTACCAAACAAAAGGACTATAAAAATGAAGGAACTCCTGATCTTAGGCTGCTATTTCCACCTCATATGACCTTAATTTTATGGAAACTGTACCCTTGTGTTATTTAGATTTTACTCATAAAACATAGACAGAGGCAATGTATAGGCATTGGGGAACAATCAAGTAAAATATAAAACTTCTTTGAACATCAAACAAAAAAGTTGTTAAAATGATTAATTTTTAAAAATGATGTAAGGAAAAGCCATTTGCTGGAGTGGAGATAAGGTGGGTTTGTTTTTTTTTTTTTATTTTCTATTTTCCTTTAAGAAAAATAAAGGAAAAAAACAAGTTATTGGAGCACTGAAATGTTGTAGCAAACAAAGTTCTACTTCCCCAGCAATTATAACCTATGAAAAACATTAAACACTGAGGATTGTTTTATAATGTAGGGATATTTATCCACCTATTACTCATGACCTTACTCTAAGCTTCTGCAGTTCTCTGTGCATCCTATTTTGAAGGAAGCCTTAAACCACAGCAGAGTGCCTGTAAGTCTGACAGATTACTACTTGTAAGTCTTCTGAATGTTTGCAAGCATTCAAGGTTAGTTCAACCTAAACTCCTAAAAGAGCATATTCAGCCTTTGGTCCTGTTACTTGAGAGCTAACAGGATTGGCAGCCAACCAGGCATTATACGGAATTGCTACAGGATTCTGAGTCTTCAGCATTAAGTACCGTTGGAAAGATGCAAACCCAAAAGCATTTTGGGGATTGAGGCATGGAGCTGTGTCCTCCTATTCAGCACAGGCACTTCTGTCAGGAAGTTAGGAACTGACTGTCTCCCAGTCTGGTTCAGACCAAGGCCCTTTCCAAGCATGCTTCCTAAGGAAATCCCCCCACCTTCAGCTCAGAGTGGTTTTTTAACTGCTCCTTTTCTTACAGCATTAGTCAAAGACTATGGGAAACTGTACATCTTTGTGGCTTTTATTAACTTATTTCCTTTCCAGCAATATGCTGTAAAACCAGTAGTGAGACTCTCTTTAAACTCGAGTCTTACTGTGGCACTATCAGCAGCCTCATGGTCCTTTTCAATGCTCATTAACCACAGCCTTCTATATCTTAATATTGAACACATTGATACAAAATGCCTTTAAATGGTACCTTTTGTAATTCGGGGGTTTGTTTTTCTGTAGCCTGTAGAAGTTCTCAGATGAATTCTGAAAATAAGGAAGGAAATCCAGAGATGAAAGAGGGTGCAAAGTCATCATTCAGAGGATAGACCTGGATTACCTGCATTCCTGACAAGACCAAAGCCTACCTCAAATTACAATCTTCATCTCCCATGTGCACACACGGGGATTTGGAAATTGGTCAAAACTCCAGCATGACAGAGTTCTGCAGCAGTTACTTCAGATGAAAGAAAGTGATAGACTATGGTTTCAGAACACTGAAGCTTAAAGCAGCAGGGCTAAACCAACAGTAACACAGAGAAGAGGATAGACAGAATTACAACGAAGGAAGAAAACTGAAACCAATATTCCAAGTCTAAAACAGTAATTCTTAAAGCAAGCCAGTTTTGAATTCCTAATGAACATACACAGACACATACAAAAGCCCAAACCAAACTATGCTTCTTGCTGAATAGATTTTAATATCCTTTGCTGGAAACACACAAACTATTATTGTTTGGAGGTTGTTTTTTGCTTCTTTATGCTTAGCTTCAGAGATACAGAACTGCTTTTCAGCTAGAGATGGGTTTTGCTCCACTAGACTTCTAAGCTGCTTACTTGTTACTGGAATTGCCATTAGGTCCCTAGTAAACAAATTAGCAGCAACACTGCTTGCTCACCCTACAACTCCCCCAGACCTTTCTCTGCTTTCAACTGCAACCTACGCAATGGAACAGGATTCTATTTTAGCAATAATACAATTTCATAGTTAGAATCCCCTTCAGTTTGAAGAAAACAGCAGCAGTGACTCATCACAAGGCATTTTTTTTAAAAAAAGGGGATTTCCTACTGAAGTAAAGCACCAATGAACATCACAGGAGGCAAAAATCATCAAAGATCACAGTAAAAAGGGAGGCCAAGGATTCCTCAGGGAGGCAATACAACTACAGAAAAAAAAGGCTTTTATTTCAGCTGAAGACTCATAACCCAAACTGGATTTGTTATTCTAGACACACAAACCGGAGCGTGAGGTTTCACTCTGAAACCCAGCCGAGCCAACACAGAGCTGCTTTCAGCAGCCAGCAGTGGTTTTGGAGCTTTTGATTCATTCTGGATTCTGGCAGGGACAGAGCCATCATACACATCATATTCAATATGGTACCTGACAGAGAACTAGGCTTGGTTTAACTGCTGAACCAGGGACTAGAGGGAAATGCTATCATTCCCCAATACCTGGGCTCCTTCCATGAGTCACAGCCACGCACTTGGCTGCTTTCAGTAAGTATGAAGGTCACTTTCAAGTTACTGTTTCTAGTAAAGATAAACTCCGCTGCACAGTGAAGGCAGGAGAGTGGTGGCAAACTACGTGGGCTGTTTCCTACGTAGGCCGTTCACAGGAAGGGGCTGCCTCTTGCCTTGAACACAGATGCCAGCCATCAGGATTTTTAATAACTAGGTGTTTGCCCAGTGGGTGAGGCTTTCAGAGCACTGGCATACCAGGACATTTGCAGTGGCATCACGTTTTTGGGGAAAGATCAGCAGGAAGAGCCTGAACCCAGGGTTATTCTGCCACTGGACCACAATGCGACCTCAGCAAGTCACAGCTCCTGTCTGCTTCAGTCCAGGAGAGAATGAAAACTGCCCAGCTTCATGGCCCTCCTGCACTCAGCCCCCCAACAAGAGCTGCTTTAGGTATCAGCTTTGTACTAAGTTTGGCTACAAAAGTTCTAATTCTTCACTACAGAGTGATGGAAACTGGAGGTAACACCAGCAGGCCAGTCTGTCTTCTGCCTCTGCCTTCTACCTATGCTATCTGCATACAAAATAAACCACCACAAAGCTGAACAACGATTCTAATATCTCACTTTTGAATGCCAGGCATGGAAAGCAAGATGGAAGCAGGCAGTATCAACACACATGAATTAAAAGGAAAGCAATATAAGGGGTATAAAACAGCTTCATTTCTCCACAGGAGCTAGAGAAGACCTGGCCTAAACCTCCCCTAACTTGTTTGTGTATTATTAATTACTATATAAATTAGAGATTAAACTCACCCCTTTGTAAAGCTGTTATTCTTGCACAGCAGAGTTTTGTGGAAGGTCTCTGAATAGAAGAGGTCCTCTGGACTGACTCATAGATTCAGGTGTTAGAGACCCCTTTACACCTTTCTCAGGCTCAGCTGGCCCAGTGCTTCCATCTAGGGAAAAGTCATGGAAACAAAGAACACTCTCAATGGAATCAAGGGCATCAATTAAAGGACTAATCACACAACTCCACAGAAGCCTGCAGTGGCTTAGAGAGGTGTAGAAAGCCAGAGGCACCAGGCATGCAAGGGAAAGAAAGGCTAAGTGTTTAGACAAAAAAAAAAAAAATCAGTTCAGCTGGGCTGTGTTGGAAGACAGCCCACAGCATTTTCTAGACATCTCCCATTCCTCCTTCTCATTTAGTAAAGAAAGGATCAAGCTAAATTTCCATTCATTATACTTATGTACAGGCAGAAGAAATTTTCTTCTGCAAGTAAGAAACAGTTAATCTTTTGCAAATCTCTTTTCAGTCCTCTTTCCCAAATTCTCTTCATGGAGCAATTTCTTGCTACATCTTCACACCCACAGGCCCAGCAATAAAAATTCAAATTTTTATTTGGTTCAGCTTATTTCAATTTGGTTAAATTTTTTCTAAAAAACTGGTCTGTCTCAAAAAAAAATCTGCTTTGTTCCCCCAGGGTTAGCTGGGATTCATCTTCTAACCAGCACAAGGCATTTTGAAATGCCAGATGGGTGAATCTGCAACCAGCATAGAACTTTAAGAACACAAAAGAGATCAATTTTTTTACGTTCACTACAGTAGATTTTGGTTACCCACAGTTTGGCCATTTCCACAAAATGAGAGCAGGCAACAGGAAACAAATCTTTCAACCCATCTAGCCAAAACAGTTATCCAGTATCTTACCAATAGGAAGAAACATCTTACCAGTAGGTGAAAATCGCCAGAAGGTTCTAAGAATGAATTATTGGATAATGAAATATTGATTAAAGTTCTCTAAATACTCTATTTTGAACAGAATTTTTAAAATTGTTTGAGATATTTCTCCTGGCCAGTTTTTCCTCAGAACATCAAACATTTACCAGGCAGGACAACGAGCTGTGTACTGAGTACATCTAAATCATGCCAGCTGCAGCTGATTTGCAACATTCCCATGTCTCATTGCTTCACTCAAAAGCGAATCTGAATATGTTTATTTCTACAAGTTAAATTTTATTTCTAGATAATATTATCCACAATAATTTAGCACCTCGATGGACTAAAGAAGGACAACTTCAACATGAGAAAGTTTATCTGCATCGTTTATTTTTATAGTTAATTATAGGTGAGTTCAGAGGTTTAAGTGTATCCTACTATTCAGGCAGCTTTTTGCACAACAAAACTCGCTGTTTATTCCTTCCCCCAAAAAGTTGTGAGAGATTCTGTGAAACATCCCACAAGGTGTCACTAGAGATTCATCAGCCAAAATACTCCTCGAACGGACGTCCTTTCCTATCCTTGCTCCCCCTTCCTTGGAAACATGTTAGACACCTTTGGAACGGGATCAGAAAGAGTTAATGCCTGAGCAGAGCGAGGCCTTTCAGCTGTAAGCAGCAACGCAATAATTTGAACAGTAAATGAACCGAGTACACACAGATCAATGGGAAATGCAAATAACTTCAGGCATCAAGTTTTAATGAACTACTAAAAGTCACCCTAATACAGAAAAAGAAATAAAATCAATTGTCAGCTCTGCCTCAGTTCCACCCTAATAGTAGAAAAGATGGTTTGTCTCTTTTGATCATTCACAGTTCCATGCCCATCTTTCACACCCAACCCTGAAAACCATACAGATGTCTTGCAAAACTCTGCTATCAGATATAATGATGTGCTTGCTCCTCATTTACAGTCATCATTAAGGCCCTTTCTATTGAACACTGCATGAACACAGCATGAATTCAAAACTGCCATGCTGGGTTTAAAAAGAATATCACCCCTGTATTTCCCTTTCTTGGAAAAAACCCCTAGACCTCACTTGAGAGAAGGGTTGTTTAACATTTGAAAACTATCTCTGACGCAGCTTTCAGGAAGAATTACAAACGAGTTTTTAATTTTTCATAGTCTCAAAAAAGAGTAGGATTTGGAGCCTTAGAAGATGACATAATTACTCACAGGTGAACAGAGGCACAGCTGACACCAGCACTCACCTGCTCCAAGGTACCCCAAGTACACCAGGTGTAAGGATTTACCTTGCCTGTTTCCTGGCAGACACACAACTGCAGCACATCTTCCAGGAACAAAGTTCCAGGAGCACTTGGGATCTCCAAAAGAGATTTTAAAAACCACGAAGGAATAACATGGCTACTCTAAGTTTACATGGGAGAGGAAAATACCATATGGTAAAAAAACTAACATGAATATGTCCCAAAAAAAAAAAAGACAAGCCAGTGTTTGCCTTATTCTTCACAAGATTATCAAATATTTCCATTCAAAAGAGCTGATTACTGTAAATTCAGAAAGTTCTTTTGCCTGTTGCGGTTACTTGGCAAATAAATCACCTTTGTGGTTATGTCCTTCTCTGCTCCTCCCTCCTCATCAGTAAAGTGGGTTTATTCTACTTTAGACTTTATGAACACACATCAATACCTCACTGAAAAATAGTATCATTCCATGAACAAATTATGAAAATACTTTACACTTTTTTTCATGGCTTGTGTTATCTTGGATAGCCAGGAGTCCTGGCCTCCATTTACATTCTTCAGAAGTGCAAATAATATCTTCATTTGTCCTAGTATTTGTGGAACCTTTAATCACTATGGCAAGACTTGTATTTTACAGCTGATCTTGACAGGCTTCTAAATTTGATTCCCTGCACAAGGGTATTTTTTGCTTTTTTTAAACAGCAAAATTCTTCCACTCCCTTTGAGAATGTAGAGGGCTTTTTTTAGTGTGCATAAAATGATTAAACGAGTCTCTGTGAAGACTGTAACAAAAACAAATCACATTTTGAGACCCTTTATATTTTTA